AATGCTGCGAAGCATCATATGAGATTACTTTAAAAAAGTTGTTCACGTTCTCAATTTTTTACGTTTAACGTTATATTCGTTCGGTACACTTCGGTACACACGTGTACCGAACCAAATTATTCGGTACGTGTACCATTACACCCCTACATTTTATGACCACTATGTCTGTAAACCTGGAGGCCTACAATTACAAGGCGGTCATTATAGTTTTAAGCTAAGGAAAGGAGCTCAAGATAGTTAAAATAGAATATATTTTCCATCATCGAATTTGAACTCTTTTTGAAAACATTCAGTCAATATTAAAATGGTGGTCTTTTCCTGCAAAGAATGTTGTTTATAAAATGGAAATGATGCCTAAAGTCCCTATAAATAAATTATTAAGAATGCTTTGAACTGTGCGTTATACTTGCCCCCCTCTTCTCCGGTCTAAATGGTATGGTCCTCGTGCTCTGATGGCTGTAGCCCCATCACCCTCCACCTTCCTTTCCTCTTCCTCCAAAGCCCTGTGCACCCCACCCGGTGTCAGGGGGGGGGATCAGCTGTGCCAGTCCCGGCAGGCCACACACACACACACACACACACACTGGCTGGCTGGCTAGCAAACAAAGCCCCTGGCACTGCCAATGAAGACAAGCCATGCCTCCTCCGTGCGTAGCCTCTCCTCTTTTCACGCCACCGTGAGGGGAAGGCATGACACCATTGTCGTTGCTCTTCCTTATCAAAAAGACGAGGGGAAAAAGAGTCTGCCCTGATATACAGTGGATTCTTTTATTTTTTTAATCTTTTCTGCTGCTGAGGACTAGAGATGCTGGCGGAGCGCAGAGAGAACAGCAGGTAGGGAAAGTCAAGAGCTTGGTGCTGAGCTTGTTTCCGCGGTGACCAGGAGTTTGTTTACTGATACTGGCCGAGCATAACCTCGATGGATAAAGTATAGCATGTTAATTGTTAATATTGATGTAAAAGCTCTGCCTCTCTGCGTCACGTCAGTGCCCGACTTCTTTACATGAAAACACAAGATTTCAGCAATTTGGTTAATGCTTCCGGGCAGAATGAACGAGGACAGGCTGTAATAAAATTTGTTTTCCACCATCGAGCAGTGATGGATGCAACAGTCGCAGCTCCCAGTTATGTCACAAAATACCCTGATGTGTGCTTGATGACGAGAAGAAAGGACTGGCTAGGGTTACATTTAACCTTATACTGCGTGTTAGGAACAGTGATGACTTATCATTTTTTAGATATTTGATTCCTTTTATTTTTAGAGTAATGTTGCATTTCCACAGCAAGGAACATCTTTAAATAAAGTACATCCCTATCACAGTATGTAGTGAAACTGAATTGTCACTTTAATATTTTCCTCAGATGATCACGTTTAAGAATCTAGTAGCATTTGTTAACATTTTGAAAACAATTTATATGGCATGATGTACATTGAAATAAGTGTTTTCAAGGTCACATTTTAGATTAGTAAATGCTTCCATAACAAACAACAAATTAATGGACTCCAAAGCAAAACAAAAGCTGAGACGGAGAAATAGGCACCCCAGATGGGACAGAAAAAAAAAAGAAAAGAAGTTGCATTACAAAAATCTTCTTTGGAAGAGAGCAAAATGGTAGTGAGCAGCCTCAAACACATACCATATTTTACCACGTTTACTAGATGTCCAATTGGACATGAATCATTATATAGCTGCTGCTGGCGTGCAAAATACCTAAAACTGTTTGGTGAAAAGAGATTTAACAGAAACATTTCTTTAGACTGTAGCTAATATTGTGTAACAATATAATGTGGATTCAAATAGTAGTGGTTGAAAGCTAGCATCAAAGACATAAGTAACATATTTCTGTCAAATTACACTTATTACTGTAAACTTATAATTTACAGTAAGACATGTTTATTTGCCAAAACAGCTTGCAGAACCGAGACACTCACAAAAATGAGGCTGGTGGTAATAGCCCGTGATGATGACACCCGAGGCATACTGAAGGTCTAAATAGATATCCAACGAGAAGGCTGTCAGTTCTGTTCCTGTCCGGACTTGTTTGGCATGAAATGATTTCCTGCCTTCTGGTTCTTGTTTACGCTCGTGCATCAGCTGTTCTTCAAAGACGCGCTTCAGCAGTTAGAATCTGCTCTTTTGTAGCATTGTCACTCACAGTAAATCAAAAATGCTTCAAGCTCATCTCTTAAGTAGTGATGATTACATTGTCTCTGGGTATTAGAAGATATTTGTCTTCCATTTTCTTGTCGGCTAATAAAGACAGGTATATAATGGTTGTGTGTCACAATGGCTTGCAGAAGGGACCCTTTTGTCTGAATTCAACACCGCCTACATAGCCTTTTTATTTTTCTCAAAATTTGCATTTTGTTTTAGAAGTTTTGTAACTCCTGTCAACCCATTTTCTTCTTCTCTTATCCATGGAGCTCCCCGGTAAACTGTCAGACAGGAGACAGTTCTGTGATTACATCACTTCCTCCAGAGGAACAACCACACAAGCCTTTGAAGAGTTTGGCTTTTCCAGGGCAATGGCTGCCTTCATCTCCCAGGAGTTAGTGCTTAGTCTGCGAGACGTTCATTGAAGCTGGCGTCCGCTTAAAGAGAATGCTTTGAAAAAGACTGGAGGGCCAAGAAAGCAAGCTCGGTTGCATAGGAGTTGACATTCCAGCGATGCCATTGACTCATTTCCTTCAGTTCAGCCAAGACGAGAAAGGGTTTGATGCTGTTTTCCCTGTAAACTGGATTTCTCATGACTCTATAAAGACATGGTCTAGCACTCTTAAAGGGATGATTAGCATTTAGTTTGTATGATAATGGCGCAGTGGGTTTCCCATGCTCATCCTGCTGGACATTCAAATTCACATCAGGGCAGAGAGATGTGTAAGGGGCCAGCAAGGTATAATGTTGTTTGCTTACATTATGACAAATGTTGGTGTCCCAGACAAAGCTGTTAAAGGCAGTGTTGGAGATAAAGCCGCATAATGTTGACAATTTGCTAGGATTCTAAATAGCTTTTACTTGCAATTCTTAGTCCCTCTGAACCGTTTCCTGCCTCCTTCAGGTATTTCCATTCAAAAGATAAGATGGCCTAATATCTCAGAAGGAAGTGAGAGTGCTGTGTTGCCAAAGGTGTCGGAATGTTTTTGTTTTTACTGGCTATGTTTTCTGATCTGAAACTAAAGGGTGGATCATGTCCACTTGAGTAAAACTAAATCATGCCAATATGTTTAAACACATTTGATGCCAAACTTTCAATAACATTAACCAGTTAATACCAGTATTTGTAAGGTTGAATATACGTTTTAAATTATATTTTTCAATGTACAGCTATTACGACTGCAAGTGCCCAGCTGGCACCCAATAGAACATTTTGTATTTTCAGTTAGGGCTGCTCAATTAATCGTATTTTAATCGCAATTACAATTTTGGCTTGCAACCATTACGAAAACAACGTAATCGAAATAAAACGATGATTTTGTTATTATTATTATTATTTTTATTTTTTATTTTATTGTTTTTTCAGTTGAATTATACTTAAAGTTCAGGGTAATCAACTGTTAAAAACATACTGTTCACATTTTTTTTTTCAATAAATGGATGTTTTCAAAGTAAATGGATAATCGTTTTTAATAATGGTGATATCAATTATTGACCCAAATAATTGAGATTATGATTTTTGCCATAATCGAGCAGCCCTATTTTCAGTGTAGGATCATTAGGCTTGATAATTATGAGTTACCGTCTCATCTTAGACGAGGCTTCAGGAAGCCACTCAAAAACAAAATGTGTCTTTCAGGTGTAAAGCTTTACTCCTCTCTAAGTAAGTAAAGTTGCTCCAACAGAAGGAAGGTAAAGACACAACTAAAGAAAAGTGTCCAAGGCCTTCATTATTTGAATGATTGATCGATTTCTTTATTTTTTTGTCTTGCACAGAAATCGCCCAACCCTCATGACTTTACCACCCAAACGACCAAAATGAAGTTACATTGCTCAAAAACTTAACAAATTAGGTTATTTTAAGACTTAGCCCTAAACAACGTATTATGCTTTCACTCGCTTTCTTTGCAGATAAAATATGTTACAAACAAAGTTTCCTTTCCCAAAACAAATTTTTGTTGTAGTCATCCAGCCAACAGAAATCAACATACTTTTCTAAAAGGTACAATGTCCTTGTGGAGACGAGAGGTAATGAAAACAGAAAATGTCACCTTGCTGACACAACTAACAACGCCTAGATTGATTGTGTGGTTTTCATGACGCGCTCACTGCTTACCAAACAGGTGGAGTGAGGTGTAATTGCGCGTTTTGTCTGCAGATCCCTGGCTTTATTTTTGTTGATTTTCCATCTCAGCCTTATGCTGAGTCGTATGACATGTGTTTGCCCCAGTTTGTGGTCCCGGCCCTGCTGCGCTCCGTTCTCTCTGCCCTCGTGTTCGCTTCACTGACTCTCTGTTGCACAGGGCTCACTAAACTAGTGTTCACAGTCAGCATTGTTCACAGATAATGCTGCCTCTGATCTGAGGTAAGGCTTCATTATAGCACGAAAGATAGGTCGGCTGTCATACAGTAGCTTGAATACAGTTTGAGGATATTTCCAATTTATTAGAATTTTCTTAGAATTTTTGTCAATTTCTGGTTAATAAAGCTCTGTGATTAATTGTTCACTTACCATATTCATGTAGTTGCAACGATTTCAACTTGATATTTTTCTTTTCCACCTGATTCCTCTACTACTCAATGCCTTAAGATCTTTGAGTTGTGGACAAAACAAGACATTTGACCACTTCATCTCGGGCTTTGGGAAACAATGATGAACATTTTTACAATAGTGTAATTTTCTGTGCACTGATAACTTAATTACTGACATTTCAGAAGTCCTTACATTTGGTTTAAGTTGTAGGCAATCTGACGGTTTGCTTGTTTACAGCTTGTCTAAATGTTGGAATGTCTTTGTTATTTTGGCAACTACAATGTTTCTGTAATTGATAGAAATGTTGTCAAAATCTATGAAAAACAATCCACGGTTTACATCCCTGGAAACTTCCTTGTACTTCCTTGATGAATGAATCACCTTCTGAGCTCAATGACAGAGATCGTTTGACATCGCTTATCGTTGAAAATGTAGTGCCTAGATGACAAAACTCTTGCCTTATTGAACAAAACAAAAAATGACTTTGCTCTTCTATGTGATGCAGCTCTACTGCTATATTTCCTAGCTTTAGGGATAGCTTTAGGGATGTCCCGATCACCTTTTTTTGCTCCCGATCCGATTCCGATCATTTGATTTTGACAATTTGCCGATACCGATTTTTCCCGATCCGATCTTTATGCAATGCATTAAGAGAAAAAAAGCATTCAAGTTGTCCCTTAAGGTTATTTTTTTATTTAAATTGGATATTCTATCCAACATGGATATAGCTTCTTTTTTTCACAGCAGCATTGGATCAGTTCAGTTGTGCAGCATTGGATCAAAACAAAATAAAGCTTATCAGTACTCGTTAGCTTACTGCTACAATTAGACACTGCACCCTGCCCACTCTGTTGCCAGATTTGAGAGAAATAAGCAACCAGGTCTATGAAAACAAGCCCCAAAGAAGCAACACATACATGATGTTGTGTAATTTGAAACCAAAACTAAGGCCTCAGGATGACTTTAAGACTTGAACATGGTCACTTTTGTTTTGTAACATTGAATACAAAATAAAAAAAAAAAAGTATTTCAAACAACAATTTCTTTTTTTTTTAAAGTCCCGATCCCCGATTTTTTTCTTCCGATCTTTTGAAAATCGGATCGGGACATCTCTACTTGATAAGGCTGATATCTGATTGACCTTT